TGTGTGTGTGTGTGTGTGTGTGTGTGTGTGTGTGTGTTTGCGCACATGTGCATGTGGCTATGTGTAATTGCCGTAGCCTGCATCTATCTTGTGTTTTTCCCCACAGCTAGGCTCTTACCCCAGACTGCGAGAAGAGACCGAGAGGATTGTCACTACTTATGTCAGAGAGAGAGAGGGCAAGACCAAGGACCAGGTGCGAGACTGGCGAGAGAAGATCCGCTTTTACTGTTGTTGTTGTTTTTTTTTTTCATTAATTTTCTTAATGTGCAAAATTTATTTCTTTACCAGGTCCTTCTGCTGATTGACATTGAGCTGTCATACATCAACACCAACCATGAGGACTTCATTGGATTTGCAAAGTATGTGTAGCATACAGTGCGGCACATTCTGGGTTTCATTTCTCACCTCAAAGCTTGACCCTTAACCTTAGCAGCGCTTTTTGCGTATTTGGACTTTTTACTGTCTGCAGTGCAGTTTATTTTGACTTATTTAGGCAGGAAGTGGCCATGTGGCCAACATGTAAAGCAACCAATCACAGTTAACATTTTCCATGTGAGTTTATCTAAAACCACATTTAATTCTAAGAGCATAACAGAATATGACAAGTTCTTCAAAAAAAAAAAAACTGTAGAATCTTTAAAAGGTTCTATGTTTTTCCTTTGTAGTGTTTGCTTAGAAGTGTGCTGAAATACTCAGTGTGCTGAGTACCTGCGGCACTTTTTTTTAATTTTTATAAATGTTAACTTTAATTAATTATGGTCAGGTTTTATATATATATATATATATATGTGTGTATATATATACAGTATGTGTATATATATACAGTATATGTATATATATATATATATATATATAAAACAAAAAAATCTTTTTGGTGTCAACATGGTACAGACGCTCCATACATCTGACATCCCCATGCTATTATCTTTTCTGTAATGTTCCTGGGGCATCAACAATATTTAGATATATATAGAATTTCTAGATGTTTTCAACCTGTTAAAGAAACTCTGAAAGTCATGTTTGGACTGTGTCTCCTGTTTACTGTCAGTGCAGTGGACTAAAAAGATCAGATAAGGTCCCTATGCCTGTGCATTATGGCTAATTCATTGGACGTAACTTAAATGCACTAAAATCATTAGTGCATGTCTTTGACCTCTCAAACTAGTCTACAACTAAAGTCTGATTGCATGCGAAATGTTTGCATGCCCAGATGGTTACTGTAGAGCATTCAAGAGTTGAGTCAAAGGTCGCCTACAGCATCAAGCCTGTCTGACCCTGCTCGCCCTGCGTGTATCCCCATACGCATGTCGTGAGTTTGTCAGGGCACCTCTGTTAACGGTTCTCATGCCGTCACTTTCAGTCTTGACTGCAGACGGATGGATGACGGTACCATTCCAGGGTACAGCAACAACAGGTGCGCTAGCGCCCCCTTAATCACCCAGACACATTTAGAAAGATGGTAATCAGACCACCCATCTCCTTTTTCTCCCACCACTTCCCTTCTTCCTGCCTAAGAGCAGGATTACTCCCACCCTGAGTGCCAAGGAGGTTTACACAATCATCATTTTACTGTTGTGCTATTATAACAATACAGACAGCAGCATGCAATCGGTGCATGTGTAATCAGTGTTCTCTGTCTGTTTCCTCCACCTGCAGCGCCCAGCAAAGGAATATCGTTAACAAGAAGAGGGCCATTCCCAACCAGGTACACTTTTCTCTGCTTCCACATGCTTTTAAATCCACGTTGACACCCCTTCATTCCAACACCATCACGCCCTCTACCATTCCAATTAAACACGAAAGGGCCTAACATTGAACCCTGAGAGACCCCTTCCACATCACCCCTTTTGATTTACCAGCTTTGATTAAAAACTGAACAGTATTTTTCGTCAAGGTCTCTATCACTTATCAACAAGTTTTTGCCTTTACCAACCACAAAAAAGTTTTTAAAATTTATGTTACATTGCATCCCCACCAAGAGTGTTTTGTTTGAGTGAGCATCGTCAAGATTTGGGTAATAAAAAAAACTTTCGTGTTTTGTTCTGCAACATGAATGACATAACTGTTGTCATGAACAACTCTATTATACATCAGATATGTTCTGAATGGCTGATATTGTGAAGCATCACGCTGTAATTTGTGTTGACAGCTGGAATTCTGTCACTTCACGCCTGGTTAGGACACAGTGTTAGTATTTACAGTATGTGTACCATTTCATTTGGAATGAACATTGCTTGGCACTAAAGAGTATTTTTCTAACAAAGTTAGAAAAATAAAAGAGCCTGAAATGGGCTTATCATGTATGAAGGTTTCAGTGGAAATGACATAAGCAACTTGAAAGTATGCTGTGTTATTAGACAGGGACATTCCCTTTCATTTCCTCCCACTCAATGCATTGTTTTTTTTTTGGGGGGGGGGTTCAGTCTTGCCCTAATTTAATGCAAACTTCCCCTTTCTATTTGAAGTGTAATTCAGAATGTGCATGGATCCAGCCGTGACAATGACACGACCTAGTAGATCATTCTGATTTGTGGTACTGTCAGTTAATCTAATTGCATGTAACTTTGTTCTGTTGCTCTCTCTCTCTCTCTCTCTCTCTCTCTCTTCCTCTGTCTTCTTA